CCAAATAAAAATGGGAGAAGTGTAGGAGGGAAATGGGAGTGAGTGACACAAGCTAATCAGGATTTTAATCATGCTAATGGATGTGATTAACTGCATACTTCTCCCAGCAGCTCCTCGGAGTAGCCTGATAGCCAGCACGAAGCTGGGGCAAAGTGCTCATCCCACGTTAATCCTACACCATGCGTGTCACGTCACCTGCTCAGGGATACACCTGGTGCTTAACCTTCCTCCCACCCACACAGCCACTCTTCCACCCTGCCAGCACACTCATTCTGGGCAGGGGACACAGTGTTTGTCCGTGCTAAACTCTTTAGAGCAGCTCCAGGAGCCTGGAAATCCAGCCTTGGCAAAGGAAAGCTAATCCAGGCCCTATTGCGTTACACAAAGCTCCCTCGATAATGCAACTACAACTCTTGTTTTTGTTTGCCACTTTTGTTCAAATCACAGGGACACTGTGAGCTTTATCTCAGTGCTGGTATCTTGCTACTCCCCTGAGGAACTACCAATTCAGCAGTTGCCACTCTACCCAAGCAAAGTTCTAAGAGGCAGGGAGGAAAACAAGGCAAGGATTAAAAGAGCAGCAAGGAGCAGCCTTTTGTAAAAGAGAGGGAAGAAATCAGCCCCTTCCCTCCCTGTCTCCAGGGGAGCACAGAATAAACAACCCAGCACCCTCCCACCTTCCAGCAGACATTTCCAGGGAACAATGTGCATTATGGAGTTGGAATACACCATCATTTACAAGTACAGCCATTTTTATCCACGGAGTAACTCAAACTTGCCATGAACTCGGTGTCTCCCGTGTTTCCTACAGCAACAACTGCAGAAAGTTTTGCTCTCCAGCGTTCCAAAATATGGGCTCTTATGGCAACATCCAAAATGAGTGACTTACTCAGAGGACTCCAAGACTGATCTTGTCTGGGGAAAATCCTCAGCACTATCCTGATTAAATTTTTCAGAGTGCTAGAGCATCACACCAATGTCTATTCATAACCCTTCAGGGTCAGATTTCCCAATAATTTCAAATATATTTAAAATTGAATAATTTCTAAGGTAATATTAAGAAGCCTCCTCAGGAACAACACAAGACACCAGTATCAGCCACAAGTATTTCATTCTCCTCATTACCAAGTTAAAATCTGCATAACATCTACAGCAACTGATTTCACTGACCTTTTCTTCCCACCAGAAATTCCTTCCCATGTGCAGAACACTTAGCCATGGAATTCTGAGCTGGAGGAGGAAAAATCCCCCCACAGGATGCAGGGTTCCTACCTGCTCTGCTCAGCCCAGCTTTTCCAGCATCTCCCAAGAGCCTGCTCCAAAGGACACCCACCCTTTGTTCTGGAGATGAACACTGTGCAGATGATGAGGCTCAAGGCTCCAGCTCTCTGCCACCCTCCCACGTGCTGTAATCACAGACCCCTGGCTTCTCTGATCTACAGCTGACTATAATTTCATTTGCCTTCAAGGAGGAAAAAACAAAAAAGGCACAGAAATAATCAGTTAGTTGCTGTTAAAGCACGAGGAAGCTGTGGACACAGACATTTGACTAAGCAAGAGATTCATCTGTTTTATTTGGGACAGGAAGCACAAACACGGAGTTCCAGGAAATAACTCTGCCTTTCATAGCACTATCAGCTTCTTCAATTTGCCTTTGAAACTCCACAAGTACCTACACTAATTATAATTTTGTTGTCTGCAATCTGACACGATGACTAACACGCCTTGAACTCTTCATTCTAAGCAGAAGAGACGGGAAATTTTATCTTCCAATCTACGTCTGGCCTAGCAAAATAAATTATTTGGGGTTTTTCTGGACCAAACCAAGGTATAGTCACACATTATTTCGCTTTCAAGTAACCATCACTTTCATTTGTATTGCAAGTAGCTGGAATTCATCCTGACAGACTTAAACCCTGTCTGACCAGTGGTTTCCCTGAGTCATAAGTTTGGTGAAGGTCAGAATTTGGAAGCTTGCACATCAAGACACAGTGGAGAGAGACAAATGCAGCCCAAGTACTGAGTGATGGGGACATCACTGGCTCAACAAACAGCAGCCGAGTTTAAAAGCCTGAGGTACACAAGAGCAAGAACATGCAAGGGGTGTAAAACCAGACCTGAACTCTGCAAGAGCTCAGAGCAGACTGAATGGCTCAGATACATTTAATTTCTAGGGAAGAGAGGCAACCACTAAAATACTACAGGGGTTGGGACCTCAAATATAATTACAGCTCCATTTGCTGCAATTCCAGCTGTGTCAGCCCTTTTACCAGCAGGAATACGTAATTCATTTGGTTCAGCTGAGCACTCCTCAGACTTCACATAACGAGCTTAAGGCTGGAAATCCAGTCCTGCCCCAGCCTCCACTCAGCCTCACCTTCTGCCCCTCCAAAACCCCAATTTGCTTCTGTTCTCACTGTTGCTCAGGCTGCTGGAGGTGTGGGGGTGTTTAATACCATCACAGAATAGTTTGGGCAATCCTGTGCTATTTAAAACCTTGTCTTAAACTACTGGGTGTCTCTGGGAGGGAACAAATGAGTGCACTGAACCCAAATACTTCACAATGAGCACTTCCACCTATAAATGACACTTATCAGCACACCCTGCTCCCAGTGTAAGCCCAGGTCACTTCCAGCAGTGTCTGGGAGCCTGTGGTGTGATTATTCCCCCCCGGCCACTCCAGTGCTCACCCAAACAGGGCTGCACTCATCATTTACCACAGCACTCACAGCCTTCAAAGCTCCCCACACACAAATCAGGCAAATTGTTATAGCAGATCTCCAGATATCCTGGCAGGGCGAGGTGCAGCAGCTGTCCCACAGTGTCCCCCAGTCCAGGAGCCTGCCTGGGATCAGTGGCCAGCACAGGCACAGTGCCTGGCACAGCCCTGGCTTTGCAGGAACAAGCTGATAAAGTCAGGATCCGCTGCCATAAGTGTCCTCCAGCAGCCTCCCCGTTTGTTCTTTAAGGACAGGAGTGACATAATCCTCTCCTAATATCAGCTGAGGGCTCAGGGGGAACCAGGGGTGACCCACAAACTGTACCCATGGCAACACTGGGCTCTAGCTGAGCTCCCTGGGCTGGCATCTTCAAACCACTGACACTTCTTTGTATTATCTGCTCTTTCCCTGATGTCATTTCTGCAGAGACACATGAAAACAGATTTAATAATATCCACGGCCTTCAGCTTCAGAGTCAACAATCACAGTCACAAACAGATCAGCTATTCTGCCTTCAAGCTTATTATTTGTCACTAACATGTAATTATTACCAAACAAAACAAAAGACACAGGATATTGCTGCTGTTGCAACAGCAAGTAAGTTCAGCTCTTTTTCAAACTGAGAAAGCCCATCTCTTCTGATGCAAGAAGGCACAAAAGAATAAAAACTTAAAAACTCAAAAAGAGCCCATGAATCTTCTAAAATGCATCTGGAAGGATAATCAGAAATTTCATCGGTTCTTGCAAAGAAAAACAAACAAAAACCCATAAAGTAAATTTGACAGACAGGTCCGTCCAGCCAACGTCACCTTTATCATAACTGTATTGTCAACCTGAACGATTTTCAGTTACAATGTCTCCTTCTCAAATAAAGGAGGAGTTAATCAAGCTGCAACAGCACCTTATACATACAATACCAGCAAAACATACCCGATGGGACATAAGGCCCTGGCAAGGAGAAAAGGAGCTTTAGAGTTGTGAAACTCCAGTGCAGTCCTGTCCCTTGAGTTTACAAAATGAAGCCCGAGCAGCATCACACGCAGAGCAGGAGGAGGCCCCGAGCAAGGCTTGGTACTCCACACTGAAACACGGAGCAGGACTCGCACGGCTATTGTATTGTATTATTGTATTATTCAAGAAGCCTTTCAGCTGCAATTGTAAGCTGGGAAGAACATGGTTCACTGAATAGATGATTCCAGCTTTAAAAACAAACAAAAACTTTTTGAAAAACTCTACAATCAATGGGTTGATGTGCTAAATCCATACAGGAATCAGGGGAAGGAATAAGCGAGGGAACAACCAAGGAAGAGAGAACAAGAACCACCTAAAGAAAAGAGAACTGAACATCACAAATCAGGTTCAGTATATTCACAGACCAGGCTTTTAACACACCCCTCGAAGACAGGGAGAGCGAACAACACCCATACTACCAGGATACACTGAGAAGCAGCATTTGGCAGCAGAACAGCATCTGCAGAACCCAAAATTTCACCGCCTTGAGCTTCAACTGATTTAACAGCAACTCCGCATCGCGCCGTGGCGAACATTTGTTTAATTTTGTTTAATTCCCGCCGGTCCCGGGCCGGCCGTGCTCTGCAGGAGAAGTTTGCTCATCCCGAAAGCGGGCCCGCTGCGCGCTGTGCGCTGTGCGCTGCGATGACTGAGCAGAGGCCTGGAGCTGGCGCATCCCCGGCCCGCCACACCCAGCGCTCGGAGCCGCGCTCTGCCCATGCCCGTGGTCACCCCGCGCCCCGCTGCGAGCCCGCCGCCGGCCTTATAAAGCCGGGAATACGAGGGGATCCAACGGCAGCAGAGCGGGGAAGGACGGGGCCACAACGCGGCACAGAAAGTTTCGAGCCGTCCCAAGGAGAAGTGTGGGAGTGCTGCGTCGCCCTTGAGAGAAACCCGCGGGTCGCTGCGCCCGGATCTGAAGGGACCCTGCGGGAGCAGCGCCGGGGAACGCCGGGGGCTCCCGAATCCCCCGGATCCAGCCCAGCCCCGGCCCCCGAGTAACAAAGCCGCGCCCCGGCAGCGCCCGCTCCCTCCGCCGGCTCCCCCGGGAGATGCTCGGGGATGCTGCGGGCGCTCCCTGCGCGGCTCCCGAACCCCGCCGTCCCCGCCACCTCCCCTCCCGGCCCGGCCAGGCCGGCCCCGACCCCCCGGACACCGGAGCGCCCGCTCGGCCCGGGCCGCCCCTCCGTCGTGTCGGAGGGCGCCGCGGCCGCAGCGCGGTGTCCCCGTGCCCCGTCCCCGGGCGCAGCCCCCTCCCCGCGGCCTTACCGAGCGGCGGGGGCGCGGGGCAGCGCCGGGACAGAGGCGCCTGGCGAGTGTCGCTGTCCCCGGAGGGCCCGGCGGGAGGAGGAGCGGAGAGCGGAGCCGCGCTGGCCGCGCGCCGAGCGCACTACCCTGCTGGCAGGAGGGGCGGGGCCGGCGCCGCTCAGCCAATCAGCGCCGCGCCGCGCCCGGCAGCGACCAATCAGCGGCAGCGCGGGCGGCGCGCGGCCGCGCGGGGCGGAGGCGGCGCTGCGGTGAACGGGCAGAGGGGTTGGGTGCGGCGCGGGGCGGGGCTGGGGGCGGAGCCTGTGGAAGGGGCGGGACCAAGGGCGGTGATGGAGGACGGGACGGAGCTGAGGGGGACAGGAGCTGAGGGGATCAAGGCGAGCCCATGCTTGGGAAGGAAAGGAGGGTGTTTAAAGGGGGAGAGGAAAGCCTGGGAGCGTGTGCGGTACGGAACTCGTGGCTGTGGAGGAGCTGAAGGACGCTGTGATAAAGCAGTGCCCAGGGACAGATGGAGCGCCCAGCCGCCCCTCCAGGTGGCCGAACAGCAGGGACCACTCGTGCTGCTGCTCTTAATCCTCCGTGGCCCTTCTGGGGCCAACCCTCTGCTCGTGCAGGAGGAGAGCAGGAAAACAGGATAAAGGCAGGACGGTGAGGGATGAAAGGAAATGTTTTTACATCACGCCCAGCTGCAGAGTCACAGAATCTCAGACTGGCTTGGATTTAGAGGGACCTTAAGGATCATCCAGTACCACCCCTGCCATGACAAGGACACCTTCCACTGTCCCAGGCTGCTCCCAGCCCTGCCCAGCCTGGCCTTGGGCAGTGCCAGGGATGCAGGGGCAGCCACAGCTGCTCTGGGCACCCTGTGCCAGCCCTGCCCACTCTCACAGCCAAGAATTTCTTCCTAATAACCACTCTAAATCTCCCCTCCTTCAGCTCAAAGCCATTCCCTGTGTCCTATCTCTCCATGCCTTGTCCCCAGCTCCTCTCCAGCTCTCCTGGAGCCCTTTTAGGCCCTGGAGCTCCCTGAGGTCTGCACTGGGACACTGAGCCAGTGACCACAATGAGAGTGTGACCATCCAGCCCTTCCTTATCCACCGAGTGCTCCATCCATGAAATCCCTGTCTCCCCAGTTTGGACACGAGGATGCCGTGTGGGACACAGTCAAACACTGCACCGGTCACTGTTCCCTCATGCACCATCACTGTAACGTCCATTTTTGCCCTCAGTGAAACCATTTCAATGGCTGAAATTCCCTGGGACGAGCAGGAGGTGACTTGGGGCAGTGACAGCAGCCACACGGGAGGGACATTCAGCCTCATTCTTCATGGAGAAACCATTACAGTGTATTTTGGGAGTTAACCCGGACAGCAGGGAGGGAGGGAGGGACACGGTCCCCTGGCTGTTTACTCCTGCATGGCCCCGAGGGCTCTGTGTCACCCATCTGCCCAGAGGGAGCTGCACAGCTACTAAATCATGAAAATATGGGACACGCTGGCCTGCCAGATAAGAAAATCAAAGAGTGGTGACTAAATTAAAACAAGAATGGGTGTGTCTCGTGTCTGGTCACTGGAGGCAGGAAACACCCTTGGCATGAGGTGTGGGAGGGGGCACACCCCATGCAGGCAGGGTTAAGCTGCACCTTCTGCCCACCTCTCTCCCAGTCTCCCAAGCCTGGGTACCTGTCCAGGGCCAAAGCTGGTAAGGAGGAAATCCGTGTCCTGATGAAAGGCAGATCCACAACAACTGCTTGTACCATGTGCTATTTTTAAGCTCCAAGATAAAATAGCACCCTGATGGCTTTCTTTGGGACGGCCGGGTTTGAATTTCAGGGCCGTCCCCGCCTACCCTGATCATCAGACGTTTAAAGATCCCTCTCTCTTTACCAAATCCACCTCTTTTCCCCTCTGCCTGTCTCCAAGACAGGCTGCACCCTGGTCCTACAGCACGACAGTGAAACAGACTCAGTAATACAACAAAAAATTGTGGGTTACATCAGTGCATGTCTGACCACTGGTCCGACTGTTTTCGGCTTCAAAAAGAGCTTTTGGGTCATTCCTTCTAAATTCTGAGCCTAGAATTTATTCCCCAAAAGAAAATCCTGAGAGCCCAAAGGCCTGCACAGTGCACAGGAGCAAACCTTTGGTGGATTAAGGACATGGTGTGCCCAGGCTTCTCCCTGTCACACAGCAGCTCTGACACCTCGCCCAAATCCCAGCCAGATACACCTGAAATTATAAAGCAGAGCAGGTAAAGCCCTGTAATGCCATAGGTGTGTCCATTGTAAAGTATAAATTGCAGCAGGCAACTGTCCACTGTCATCCAGGCATCCCTGTGGAACTGCACGAGGGGCTTCAACCTCCCCAAGCCTGGCTGTGTGACTGACCAGCCTCACAGCTGGGGGATTTCCCTCCATGAAACCAAGGAAATAATAG